GATCGAGTATCATTGTTTAGTAAGAAAGTGAATCAGTTTTATATCAGTAAATTTAACTTAAGTAAGGATAAATTTTTATAATTTTTGATTACGTATTGTTGTTGCTATTTGTCTAAGTTAGTTTTTAATTTTTTTGTATTTTATCACAGGCAGTTTATTTAAAATAAGGAATCTAGAATTCTGTATAAACTGGCCTAATTACTCAGATATCTCTTTTTTATACTTGTATATATATTTAACTCCTTGTTTTTGTTTTTGTTTTGATTATCTGTGTAATTGAATTTGAGTAAATAAGTAAATAAAAAAGACGATTTGTCCGTCCTCTAGTGTGAAAACGGCCAATGACGTACTCGGCTACGCGCTACGTCTCGTGTGCCACTTTTTTGTTCTTATCACATTTTGACGTAATTTGCAGATCTATTTTTGAACAGACAGCAACATGGAATCTATTTTTAGTTTAATGAGATAGACCTTTAGGATCCCAAAATGAAAAGTAAATTTACCGAAGGATACTCAGTTTGGAAAACAATCGACACTGAAACCTTGAAAGCGACGAAAAAAGCTTTCGAGTTAACAACACTACGAATCCAAAACGCGTCACAAATTATGACAGGAGAATGGAAACTGAATTTGTTAACCAAAGTGGGGCTTTGACACTTCCGGACTATTCTTTTGTCCGCGAGTGAACTTTATTTTTGGTTGCTGATATGTTCTTGAACTATTTTGCAACAGAATATTTTGATTTAAATCTAACATTCAGAAGTTTTAAGAAAACTACGTAACGCAATGTTCTGAAGTCCAGTAAACAATGATTGAAGGATAGAGGTTTCTGAGTACATTTTGACTGATCTATCTTTTTTTTAGCTTGGGAATAAGTTATTGAACTGTCTTTATTTCATTAAAACTTATTTTGGTCAAAAGACGATCTATTTTTTAAGTTATTGCGCGCTGTCTTTCTCAAAAGGTTTGAGTAGTCGGAAACAACATCCAAACACAGGGGGCTCATACAATCTGTTTGTCTAGCAGACCGTTGCCTGAATGTACCAGATTTATCGTTTGCTTCACCTATAGTGATATATTGCTGACTATGTAACTAAATCATTAATAAATAAACGTTGAATTACTTTACCTGTTGTGTATAGTCGTCCTTTTGCCTCAAAAATGTGCTTTTTTGAGCGATTTGAAGTCTGATTTCGTCGTTAATGTAATGCATTAATGTAATGTCTTTCTTTAATGCATTACATGAACGACCAAATCAGCCTTTATTCAAAATCGCTCAAAAAAAACATTTTTGAGGCAAAAGGACGACTATACACCACAGGTAAAGTAATTCAACGTTTATTTATCAATGATTTATGTACATAGTCAGCAATATATCACTATAGGCAAACGGTAAATCTGGTACATTCACTATAAAACAACGGTCGGCTACACAAAAAGATTGTATGGGCCCCCTGTGATCCAAACAACTGTATTGACATCCATCGTGCATTCATCGATCGAGTTATGAACTACTGTATAAAGAGCACACATGTACTACAAGAGTTGATCTCGGCTGTGCCTCCAGCAACTCTTCAAGCATCTTCTTTACTCTCCAAACTTCCCACGCGCTTCCAATGGCGCTGCGCGTTCGTGACGTCACGAAATTTTGATCCCCTAGAGCGATTAGGACAAACAAACAGGCTTCTCGAGTAAATGAAAATGGGCGATGATGTGCCCATCTGTAGTTCAAACGCCTCTAAAGCTCGTATTCTAAATCAAAACGATGGTGTTCCTGGCTCAAAGTTCAGGCAAGATCAAGAGAACTATACAAACGCACAATTGAAGCGTTGGTTAAAGTGTAAAGGCTTGAAATTAAGCGGAAAACGAGCAGACCTCATCGCACGTGTTCGTGACTACCTCAAGTCGGGAAAACATTATGTACTTGATTCAAGTATAGATGATGGGAAATGGCTTTAGGAGAAGATACTAAAGGAAAGTAAAGTCCATCTCGTGAAACTTATGGATCTAACATTTCAATGTAAAAAGGGGGTTGACAGACCTTCACGACTCCCCAGCGCGTGTTTAGAATAGCCTATTCAAAGTTTGGCCCTCGGGAGTATGTCTTTGAGCGATCGCCCTCTATTTTAAGACACGAGTGGCGGATTTTTGTATAGTTCGCTCAGTACTGGTTGTGTTTCTATTAAATGCCAGTGTCTCATGAGAATTTGCTTTAGGTTTGGCACTGGTGGTTGGTATTGCGTGATAAAAGGCAAGATTCGTTGGTTCGTCTTCGGTTTCTGTTGAAGAGCTAGTTTCCTGTTTTTGAAATTCACCTCTGAGAGGGTTGTGTTCATGAGGGCCTCTGGGCCTCTAAGTTTTATTACATTGCATGTAAATTTTTGAATTAATTCGTGACTTGTTTGCTAATGAATTTTATTACAATGATCATATTGAATATTTAAATACCATAGGGTGACTTTATGAATTATTTTAGTTTTACATTTTATTAGTTCGTTGTAGGTCCACATCAGCCTTATGGCTGCCCCCTTCCTTACAACCTGCATTACTAAATAAAATGATTGATTGATTGATTGATTGATTGATTGATTGATTG